AACGAGGGCATATGCGGTCTTATACTTTACACATAGACAGTTACGTACACTCACTCCTGAGCTCTTTCTAAGGTTGTACAAAACGTACGTCACACCACACCTTCAATTGAGCAATATTATTGCACCCGACTGCTTAGAAGAGACGCCAACCTCTTGGAAAAAGTCTCAGGACGGACGACTAAAGGAGTGGTTGGTCTCCGAAACAAACCATACAATGAAAGGCTAAAGAAATTAGGCCTATCTACACTTAGCTATCGTCGGCTTAGGGGCGACTCGAATACTGCCTACAAGATAACAAATGACCAGAATCACACAAACAAAGGTGTTCTGCCGTTGAGTAGGTATAGGCTTCCTCGTGGAAATACCAGAAGGATAGCTCACCACAGGGCAAGGACCTGGGTGCACTGCCACTTCTTTTCACTGCGGGTTTGCCGTCCCTGGAATTGCTTACCGGCAGATGTAGCTACGGTACTGTCTGCGGATAGCTTTAAACGAAGGATGGACAATCATGCAGCGACACAAGGACTGTGTGCAAAAGGCCTGTCCACTTAAAATACAATGCACCATTTATGGGTAGACATCCAAATTCGTCGTTTCACTTCTCCGCATTCTCTCCTGTCTGAATCTCATGACTATTCCAAATACTATGCTTACATTTATTATAATAATTACCATTATTGATGTTGTATGCATACATATATATTTGTATATCGACTTCAAATTTAATTAGCTGTCTGTGCTTACGTTTTCTTTATTTCTTTTTCTGTCTTTTAGTCTGAATAACCAACACTAATTATATCTGATATTATTATTAATTATTATCTCTTTTCTTTTGACGACAATACCAGAGAACTAACTCGTGAAAGGACCAACTCGATTCAGCGTATCAATAAAGTCTTAAAACACCGCATACTGCAAACCACATATAATTAATGCCAGCACTACTCCTTTGGGAGTCAACCAGAGCTACGGCAGTCAGGTGGCGGAAGAACTACGCAGAAGTTTACGCTAGGTCACGAACCTATACTTGAAAATGAAGAGGCGAGCACAAAGAAATCAAATTGGATCATACTAGCTTGTAAAAACGATTTGGTTATTGGATATTGGACTTTCGACAGTTTGTTTTACTCGTTGGCTTAGCACATCTTATGGATTTGGCCTCTGATTTCGTACATTGGTGAACGTACGTAGCGAAGATGAACGTTGGCAAAGGAGAGTCTGTTATTTCAAACCGATTGCTCAATGAGTGTAATAAATCCAATTCTAGTGAGACGAATTTAGTTGGACAACAAAATAATATTCACATGGATAATGTAAGTAAAAGTTGAATGAAATGCTCAGCTTTACTTAGGATTCACTTAAAAACGCCCATTGCTCACCAGAATCGAGAGATCATTCAGAAATTTCAAAATCATTTCATCCCCTCCCTTCCAACCATAAACCATGTAAATGTTCAAAGTGCCATTGTCTCAAACTGTTTTGTGAATGTTTTGCCCGAGGCAACGCTTGCAATAATTGCAACTGTAAGAACTGCATGAGCAACAGTCTTCATGAAGAAGATCGCAGGAGGGCAATAGAACTCGCTTTGAAAAGAAATCCACTGGCATTTCATCCGAAAGTTGGTAAGGTAGTTCTCACTGTTTACTACTTTAGGCAACGGCGAACGACGACACTCAAAGGGGTGCAACTGCAAAAAGTCCCGCTGCCTGAAAAAATATTGCGAATGTTATGAGGTTTCATAGTAATTACTTAACCAGTCTCATTTACAGGCCAAAGTTGCATGTTCTAACTTATGTTGGTGTCAGGGATGTCGAAACGTTGGGGAGCAGCAGATGCAACCAGAATCAGGCGCAGATCCTCTTCGGATCAGTGAGAAAAACTCACTGGCTCACAATACGTAGGTTGTCGTGAATACTTCTCATCCATTCGAAATCACCTTCTTTCACGTATAGTCAGAATACATTTTGTTACAATGATAATTATGTCCAACTACCACATGCACACCAACCTTCCGGTGGAATCTTGGGCAGAATCAAACCAAATCTACCTACTGACCATGGATATATAAATAGGTCAAAATCGGTAATCTGAGTTTTCAAGTCATATTTTCACGCTTACGTTATTCGTGTTAATGTTTTCTTACTTCAGTTGCACTTTGTCTTCTTCATTCAGTTTAGAACTTTTGGTCGACTCTGTCAAATTTCAAAATGGGCTTTCACTTTCTGGTTTTGTTATGCCTCTTAACATCTTTTATACTGATGACAAGTATCGAATAATACCACGGTGAGATTTATTTTATAAGGTTGAACACGCATTGATGATGACTGGGTTGGAGCTTTTAATTTCGGATGTAAGCCAAGTTGAAAGTTTGAGCTGTCTTCCTTTCCAACCAGTGATGAGCTGGTGTATACTCTGCATAAACTGTAGGATAAAATACTCAGATACTTTTAGCACCTCAGTAAAATGCCTTCATCAAGATGATGGATTTGTGAAGTACTGGTAGTGCTGTTGATAAGCTACGCTGCACCGGTCCTTACTTAACGCAATTCACCTATGTACCAAATAATTCAGTAGTCTAACCTGTCTAACCTGTAAGTACTGACGACAAAAACTCAGACTGAAAAGACTTGGTTATCAGAGAAAAAGCACTCACGTGCGCCGTATATTGGAGTAAAATAAAGGTGAAGATTATCCATGGAAACAGGCCTACAATGTATCTGACGGATATGGCTTCATTAAAAACTAAAGGAGTGTGCTTATAGAGAGGTCAAGGCAAAAGCGCGAAATGGCTGAACGCTCTTACCGAGATTGATTTGTCATACTCTGCTAAATTTTCAGATTCTGTGATGTTGTAGGTGCACTTGGTATGTCCACTTGAAGCTTCATACCATCCGTCAAGGGTTCTTGAAGCTGCTTTATGCTTGAGTGGAGTTCACTTATTCGTCATAATTTCGAATTTGTTTGCCTTGAATATGCGGTGTGGGTGTTAGGTCTACTTTTTACCTTTGCAGTACAGATTATTTCTACTCATTGTTAGAAGGTATCGAAAATGTTAAGACCTCTAGTTGTTTTAAGCAAGGATTATGTCAATTGTTTATTAGTATGCAAGTGTACAAGCGCACCTTACTTGGACTTACTTGGATTTTGTCTCAAAAGTGGATGTAGTTTGCACGAATTCGTATGTTTCACAATTGTGATACACAACAAACAGTAACATTTTCGAGATTGAGATCAAAGTGTTGGAAAGATTTCATAACTGTGATGACTGCAAGTTGTGGAGCTACTCGGTTAGCACTTGATTCACAGAGTTTGTGCTGAATTATTTGGCTCAGTTGACCTTGTGAAGCAGTAATTCTGATTTAAATTTTAAAGCGGTTGGTTGTTAGTGATACAAGATGCCCCTTGTCCGAAAAGATTGACAAGTCATATCATTTCACTATTTGCTTTCCTTGAATAGACTGTGTCATTTCACAAATCTAATCCAAAATAATATCTATGTACACAACCTGTGTAAAAGTGTGCACTCAGTCAAGTTTCAAAACAAACTCACATCAGAGTAAATATTAATTTCTCGGTAAGTGAGTAAGTTTGTGAGTGAGGTTTGTTAGTTGATTGAGACGGCTGAAGTGATTATCTCCCGTTGTTTATTGTTTCGTTTGGAGTGATTTTAAGCCGAATGACCTGAACACAACGTAAGGAAGTTTCACTCATGTACCTGTGGAATAATTATCTGAGTTATCGCCTATCGCCAATTGAAGTCGATCACAGTCGTATTCACTAATCGACTCTGTATTTGGGTGCGTGTGTGTTTACTCCTCAACATTTTACTATACCCTCCTTCGGAGTTGTTATAGCATCGTCTCCCTTATTTCCTGCTATGCTTTTGGGTTCGCGAGTCAATACACTTATAATATGTGGATTAGTGCTCTATAACCAAAAATCATATTGCCAGTAATATCATGAATAATTAACGCCACTGTAGTGTTGTCTTATAAGTAGATATGCGTTGTAGTGAAATAGATGAGCTAAGTGAGTACCTGCATGAATAGATTGAATCACTATGTCAGTTATATTCGTGATTATTTTGTGCCATATCAATTAGGAAGTAGAGTGTACAAATGCGACGAGACCGGTGACGTTCTTCATCTTCATATCAGTGACATCAATGCATGATGCCACCAATAGCCTTTTAATTCGCAAGCTTTGTGTGTAATGCTACTTAGTAACAATCTGAGGTATAACATCTGTGTATTGGTGAAACTACTTTTCTCGTTTGAATGATATTTTGTGACACGCTGAAAGCCGATCTTGTTCATCTCAGTCTGAAGCGCTAATCACATGCCAGTCGACTTTCGTAGCCTGATGCACACATTTATACCTGATTTGTAAACATAAAATCTAGCGTTAATGTAAGTGAGCTTCATTTGAGTAAGATTTTGTGGAGTCATATATTGTCTGTTGAAAATGGACAGCAGAGAATACGGTAGCTACACACTGTCAATATTGATGACTTTGTAAGTCTGTTTAAACAGAACCGGATTCTTAGCTAGAAAGCCTTGGAGGAATGGAGTGCTCAGAAATATTTTAGGATTTGGGAAGTATTTGTGTATATCGTTTGGGGAAATTCTTCGCCTTATGAATATGCAAGCAGCCAATATTGTCAGACATAATTTGCGAAGAAGCCGACTCCTGAGTAATTCCATCAATTATGTCATCCACTGTTACTCAGTAGTACTACTAATAATAATAACTTAATATGTGAATGCTTGGCACTATTGGGACCATAAGCTACATCCCGTAACATCTGTCCAGTAAATTGTTACGTCATTCGGAATCTCCCTCGGCTGCTTGATTTTTTTTGACTTTGTGAATTCCCATTCAGAAGGCAATGATGTATCGCACGTCTAGTTCTTCGTTCACTGAAAACTGTGGAGATAGCAGTAATCACAGTTTCATCATTGTGTTGTCTACATTGCCAAATTTCTTTTTCTTTGCAGAATATGACCGAGGCCAATTTCCAAACAACTAGTAACAGTGTTGAATATAATGGTGCAGGTTCATCCCAGCAATTTCAAAGAAGACAAGCGCTCCGAGACGTAACTCAGGAAAACAACTTTTTAAAGGAAAATAAATTTGGATCTCAAAAGACGGATTTGCCTACTTTTCTAATTGTTGCCAGATTTGAAGAAATTTCAGGTGACTGCAACCAAAATTGTCCCAAAACCACCTAGGAGCATCTCAGAAGCGAGTACATGAAGATTGTGTGTTCAGCTTTTCCATAACTGTATTTTCTATAATGTAATTATGAATATTTCAATATCCATTTACCAAGTTACTTTACATGTTCCATAAATAAACATTATAATAATCTCAGAGAAATTAGAAATTGTTGGAACAAGCATTAGTTAGGATTCAGTCAGGATATAGCGAAGAGTGAGGAGATTTAATGTGACAGCATTTGGTCAGTGCCATAACTTTTGGTTTGACATTTGTAATGAGGTGCAGTCCACCTTAATGTAAATCCAGATATGATTTAGTTAAGTTCTTGTAACCTTCAGTGATGTGACACAGATTCATCCAAAACTGCGAAGATATATTTTATTTGAATACCTACGTTTATCTTGATTTACGCGGTTGGTTTCTTCCAATCATCCCGAATGTGTCATCTGCGTGATATATCCAAATTTTGGATTTAATGTTTTGCATGACTACGGTTTCAAGTCGCTGCATAATAGCTCCACTACTCAGTCATGATATGGGTGATCCCGTAGGTGTCCTTTTTGTATCCGTTCACATATATAACCACTGAATTGGAAATATGTTATGGGATGGGATGTGAGCCTAGAGGATTAGGAGTTAACACTGAGTATCCACACTGTGTTTGTAAGTTGGCATTATGTTAGGAAACAGGTGAAGCATTTACAATTTGTTCAGTGCGACTGTAAGAAGAGACTCGAAATCGTTCCCCTTGAAGATGTTCTGAGATGAATGTTAGCTTCTGTTGAGCGAATCTCAATTACCTATGTCGTTTCGAGTGTCTGGTATTTAGAGGCCTTCGACAATGTATTCGGTATTCTATATGTGACCATTTTGGATGAGGTGACCTGATGTAGGGCTGTTGATGGTTTTTACCACACTCTATTTGGTGTCAATGGTAGGTGTTCCTGAGCATAAAAAATTAGGTTCCTAGAGAGACGGCTAATTATGTATGTGAACCGATGAATAAAAAGTCAATAAATTTTGGCATCTCAGTGGAAATCCTTAAGGATTTGATGCTAAAGTGTACGATGAATGTAAATTTTAGATTTGGTGGCTAACCCTGCAGTGGGCTCTCCACTCCGGTCCGTGTTAGCAGACTTCTTTCTGCGTAAATCAAAAACTTCATCACGAAACACATGGCCAAGGGAGCTGAAGAAAACTCTTCTATATTTGCTAATACGAAACCTCTGTATATATACGAATGTAATTACATCATTTTCAAAGGTTGGTGGGATTCATGTATGACAGTTTTCTACTCTACTGCGAATTGTATGCCTCTTGACTAAAAGGTAAATCCTGAATTCTCATTGTGATTAAGTCGAAGAGCAATATATATTTCATGAATAACAGAACTTCGCGTTTGCTGCATAGTCGAAAGGTATCGTATAATGGTTTCTCATCGCATGACTCGGTGTCGTTATTGTTCCCGAGTTTCTCACGCTGCCACTTGACTAGTTGAAAATGCTCATATTTGTTAGGAGATTAGCGATATGTGTATAAAAGTGAAGAGTGATTTTCACTACGAAAAGAGTTCTTATGTTTCCAATGTGAAAACTTTCATAACTGACAGATATCCAGTTGGAAGAACTGGTCGACTCAATAATGATTTTCGTTTTTATCCTCCGTGGATTGGTATTTCTATGGTACTCATGCTTTGCATCACAGTGCGTTAGAAACGGTTTCGTTTCATTTAGACAATGGTCACCGTAGGCTTTGTTAACGCGCACGACTGTAAAACTATTTGATTTTATTGTTGTGATCAATTATCTTGTGTGGTCAAATCGCATCAATTTCAGCTTACTAGGTGATTAGAGCCGCACTCAAACTAAAAGTTTCTTCTAATACTGCTTGTGTCGAGCGAATAGTTTAATTCACAGCAGTACTTCTTGTGGAACTGATTGGACCATTTAGTTCGTTGAGTGGAATTTCCTATTTTAACTTGGAGTAGCTTTAATTTGACAGCCTTCTGCATCGTTTGAGGGTTAGGAGTTAACACTGAGTATCCACACTCTGTTTGTAAGTTTGCATTATGTTAGGAAACTGGTGAAGCATTTACAATTTGTTGAGTTCGACTGTAAGAAGAGACTCGAAATCATTCCACTTGAAGAAGTGCTGCAACGAATATCAGATTCTTTAGAGCCAACAATGAATAATGAGGTTAACAAGTTGGATCTGTGTGGATTTTGTTGACTTCGAGGCAGTCTTCGTAAAGAAGCCATGGCAAGTGGGGCCACCGAGATCAGTCATGCGGGCTGATACTAATAAAAGTGAATGGTGATATCGCCAATTCGCGAAAGTAAGATTTCGTGAGCTATTGAATTCCAGCCCAGTTGTTGAGTTGTGACACGCTAACCTCGTAATTTGGCTGTTGAGAAAGCACACTTCCGAAGTATGGTCAACTAAAGCGATCTGACTATCCAGCGTCGCATAATTTCTAGTGGCCATCTATCTGTGACATAATTTGTGCTGAAATATTTAGGCGTTTTAAGGTGTTTGTTAGTATTTGAAAATTATTCATTCACATTGGTGAATAGTGTGCTTAAGATATTAATAAACAGTGAAACGCTGTCATGATAATATTTCAAACTTCTTGGCTATTTGAAATTTCGTGGTATTTCAGTCTGCAGCGAAGATAGAACTAGACACATTACACTAGTTACTGACTAGTGCGCAATCAAAAATATCCAACACAGTCCTACACGAGGTCAATCGCGAGGCTGAATAGCTTAGTGGTAACGTCTCTGACTGCAGCAATGGGTGGGGCGGGTTCTAGTCTCAGAAGGGACATGAGTTCCTTCAAGGTTGCAGATGAGTACCAACTAGCACGCAACCTAGTTCGAAGCCTTCCTGCCGATTGCCTCCAACCATCTAATTAGGGGATTTTCTTAGTGCGAAGCGAAATGGATGGTAGTTTCTTGCCCACACTGTTATACACATTCCTTTCCGTAAGTATACATATCGTGATCAACTTGAAAAATATTGCAGAACCCAAAGGAGATGTGACGGTATTTAGAAATCCAAAGGAATCTGGAATTATAATACACTGTTAACTGGATTTGTTCGACTGTAACACTTGGTGAAAGACAGCCGAATAACACATATTAGCGGATCAAGTTTGTTTGATTTCCGATTATGAGCGAGTCTTCGAGATTTAATATGGTTCGGACAGATCAATTCTCGAAACAGGGATGTAAGGCGTTAATTTTCGAATAACTAAGGGAACTCGGTGAATCATGTTGTACTTGACTAACAACAGTTACAATGATTTCCTGATTAGGCATGTCGATTCTGGTAAACGTTCTGCAGTGAAGCTCGACAGCACTAGAATCCTATACAGTATCAAGAGACGAATGATATGTTGTGATAATTAGTGGTCGAATTCCTAAAATCACTGCACAAAGCATTCTAAGTGTTATGTGAATAGAACTTGGGCACTGTGGTGGAGTATAATAATAACAATTATGATAATAATAATCTGCTTTATTTCAAAAGGTTACTTATAATACAGAATGGAATTGTCAGCATTTGTCACAATATTGCTTCTAGTTTACTCAAAATGTCAATTAAATTAACCACTGCAATTTGTCCATATTTACAGTAGAGTTGAGGTCAAAAATGTGCAAAGTACAGGGTGAGAATACCAACTCAAGTGATAATAGTAACTGTGGGTTTGTTTCAAACAGTATTGTCGATACAGTTTGGAAATTCTGGTCTATTTTGGACTATTGAATTTAATGTTCTCTTGATATAGCACGGTGAAGGGAAAAGCAAAATATAACAATTATTACAGACCTTAAATGATGTCTACACTTATGAGAAAATAAACAGACAAAAAATGAGAGGATTATAAATATAATAATAATAATAATATTAATAATAACAGAACCCTTGATGTGATAAGGGTGGAGAAGATTGTTTATTCACTAGTTCTGAGGAGGTTAGTTAGCTCCTACCTGACAGTATTTTCATCACATAAAATACGTGCCAAATATGGTGCAGCGGAAGTTGTGTACTTACACGTGCGTGCATCAAGTCTTCTGAAATGACTTCTCGTTTAACCTGAAGAGACACAAGCTGAAAGCTGCAGGTAAAATCTGACAAAATTCCTTTAGCAAATTTATGGCCTGAAATCAAGTGCATAATAAACTACGCTGCACCGGTCCTTACTTAACGCAATTCACCTATGTACCAAATAATTCAGTAGTCTGTGTTATGATGCTAGATCCTTTGTCACGCGGTCACTGCTTAACTACTGACCAGTACCCACTTAACTAGTAAAGCAGAACACGAAGAGAATCAACGGTAAAACCAGGTTCATATATTATGACAAAATTGACTGTATTTATACAGAAAATAAGGTAGACTGGAAATCAGCCAATCCGGTTGAGAGTTTGAATTATGCAAGCGTCTAATCAGAAGCAGGAACAGTTGCATGTCAACGACTTGTTAACAACGCGATAATAACTTGACTGATGACCTGATAATTGCATGTTGTGCCTCTTCCTAACAGTCTGTCTAATCTGTAAGTACTGACGACAAAAAGCTCAGACTGAAAAGACTTGGTTATTAGAGAAAAAACACTCACGTGCGACGTATATTGGAGTAAAATAAAGGTGAAGATTATCCATGGAAACAGGCCTACAATGTATCTGACGGATATGGCTTCATTAAAAACTAAAGGAGTGTGCTTATAGAGAGGTCAAGGCAAAAGCGCGAAATGGCTGAACGCTCTTACCGAGATTTATTTGTCATACTCTGCTAAATTTTCAGATTCTGTGATGTTGTAGGTGCACTTGGTATGTCCACTTGAAGCTTCATACCATCCGTCAAGGGTTCTTGAAGCTGCTTTATGCTTGAGTGGAGTTCACTTATTCGTCATAATTTCGAATTTGTTTGCCTTGAATATGCGGTGTGGGTGTTAGGTCCACTTTTTACTT